GCTTGACGTTTCCCAAACACCCCCCCCCCCATCGCGCAAACCCGCGCGTGTATTTACCCGTACAGATACACGCGCGCGCTCACCTTTCCACTTCCTTCCCTCCCTCCCTCCCACCCACAGTCACTCCAGGACGACTTCTTGCCAGTAGCCCCCTAAACATCTTCTTCCTCCTCCTCCGCCGAGGGGAGGGCGGAGAGAGAGAGAGACGTGGGGGAAACTAAAAAGGAAAGGAAAGCACGGGAGCGTCTCCATTTTCTCCGCGGCGGGCCTAGGCCTTTTTCTTCGCACACGGCGGGGGGAAAGGGAAGGGGAAGCCTTGAGGGGGCCGGAGGGGAAGGGGGGGGGGGGAAGGGCTTCCCTGTCGGGTGCCGCAGCCGGGCTCCCTTCCTGCCCGCCTTCCTTTCTCCCTCCACCACCACCACCACCTTTTCCCTGGGGAGGGGAGGAGGTCGGGAGTCGGGGCGTGTGTGTGCGTGTGTGTGTTTTCCTCTCGGGCCCGCGTCCTCCATCTTGCCTGCGCGTTTCTCCCTCGGTCGGCCGCCGCGGCCTCCTTTCCAGTGCCTGCCCGGCGGCCGCTCCGAATCCTCCCCCCCCCTCGAGATTTCGCCTCCCCGTCTAAAAAAAGAGGAGGAGGGGGGGAAACGAGCCCCCCCAACTTCCAGAATCTTCTACGCCATTGTCGAACTTACCTCTCCCGGCGTCGTCGACGGCGGAGGGAGGCCCAGCGGCCTTGCCTGGCGGTGACGGCTCCTTAGAGGCCTTGCGCGCCCTTTTTATTTTCCTCCCTTGCCCCTCCGCACATAAGCGCCCCCACCTTTGTCGCCCCCTTTTCTTCTCTCACTTCTAGGCCAACTCACTCGGGCCGCCCTTACCTTTTCTTTTTTTTCCTCCTCTCCTCCCTCTCGTTAAGCCCCCGGCGGCAAGGGCCTAGAAGCCCCGGCCGAGCCTAGGTTGAGGAAAGGGGGGGGTGGCGGTTGAGCGCACGGAGAGGGGTGGGGGGGGAGAGAAGAATGAAGCGGGCGGATTATTTAATTTGGCGGCGGCAGCGGCGCTGGGGATTGTTTGGGGTGTTCGCAGCTCGGCGGCTGGCGAGCGAATGGAGGGCGCAGGCGCCACCTGGCGGCCACTGAGCACGCTCCGATCCGCCGGGCCTAGAGCGACATCTACCGGGAGGACTCGGAGAAGGGGGCCGAGAGAGGCGGCTCCGTTTTCCCACATTCTTTTCCTCCCCCTCCTATCCGGGCTCGCAGAAGAACGGGGTAAACAAGGTGCCGCGCAGGCGCAGCAGACTCGGCCACCGCCCCCTCCACCCTCCTCTGGAGACGTCACTGCTTCCTTCCAACCCCGCCCCGGTTGTTCTCCTGCGCGTGCGGCTGAGAAGCCTGGCGGCACGTAGCGTCTGCTGGAGGAGGAGGAGCCCCTGGGAGCGGGAGGCCGCAGTCGCTCTTGGGAGCCTGGAGGCGGTTCGGGTGCCCAGCCAGGACCTTGTGGCTGCATTCCGGTGGGTGGCAGTTAGTGGGACGCTGCTGCGTCAGCTCTCATCAGCCTGTAGCCCCCTGACTTTTGCGTTCTTGAAACAAACGACTAACTTATTTAAAGATTCAGGTACGGTAGCTGTGTTGGTCAGAAGCAATAGGACAAAGTTTGAGTCTAGTGGCGTCTTTAAGACCAAAAAAAAAAAAGTTATTCAAAGTGCAAGCTTTCGTGTGCATGCCAGCGTTAAACTTTTGTTGGTTTTAAAGGTGCCATTGGACTCAAACTTTGTTCTGTTGCTTATTTAAAATTGTTTTTATCTTGGCTTTCTCCTGACCAGCAGGACGCAAAGTGGCTTGCTCCCTGAAATCCAGCTAAAAATCTCATATCACAAAAATACAATACAAATAAGAGAGCAAGCTGTTTACTCCATACATCAAAAAAGCTCTGCCTTGTGCAAGCCCGGTTTCTCTGTATGTATGAGGTGTACACACAATCTGATGTCTGCAATCATTGTTTCTTTTGCAAAGGGCAATGCATGTATATTCCAGTTTTTTATAACATGCATACCAGGCCCCAGATTAAACTGAAATCCGGTACATGTGTACCAAGGCAGAAAAGCCACACAGGGCCCCTTTCAGAAGAAACAGCAATTGCACATGTCCTGTGCTGGGTGTTTGTTCTGTTAGAACAATCAGAGCAACAGAAGCGTAATGTCTCAAAGACGGATCTGAAATCTGCAAAGTTGGGGCCTTTTTCGTGTCCTCTGGAAGACTATTCCAGAAAATAACTTTCCCTAGACAGAATGGACTGAAGTAGATTTTAAGTGGAAGGTGGATTCTAGTTGAGCATTACAAAATACTTGCTAATAGTAAAAGCAGCTTAGCAGCAGACACCATTGGAGGTGAGTGGTCTTTCCTTCACTGGAGGTCTTCAAGTAGAGATTAGACGGGCAACTGTTGGGAATAAAAGTGCCTGACTGGATTTCCTTCATTTAGTTGGGGGATAGACTAGATGTCCTGTGAGACCTTTTCCAACTCAAGCAGTGGCTGAAATAGAACTGAGTCTTGCATTGCTGGCACCTTTTCAAATGAAACAGTTTTAATCAAAAGCAAACAAAAAAACCAAAAACCCTTGAAGATTGTGTTGGAAGATGCAATGTCTGGTGTACAAGAAGAGAAGAAGCTCCTGCAGGGGGCAGCATATGGAAAGCTAGACTGGAATATGGGTCTCTACTTTCTTAGCTCTGCTAAGTGTCATTTCCTCATGGGTCCCCAGAGTGCAATTCTCAGCCTGTTTCCTTCTCGGAGCTCCCCTCCAGCTGTGTAGACAGTACCTAAATAAAGTACTCTGAGTCTGAGCCTTCATGTTTCTATGATTATCTCTGTATTGACTTGCTGTGACTGTTCATTTGTATACATAGGAATTTGTTCAAAAGAGGAAAACAAGGTTCGATGATATATAGTGTACTATCAACTCAATCTTTTAAAATGATTATTATTGTATTTGATAAATTATATTAAACATGAATTCAACACGTTATGCATGTATATAAACTGTTTGCAAAATGCAAAAATGGCACCATTGTAGCCAAGTTAAATGGATTGTTAAACATTAATAGAGACAATTAGCACAAACAGCAAAGTTGCTTCAAGGTAGAAAATGAAAATGCATTCCACCAGACCCAGACATTATATGAGAACCAGTAACAACTTCCGTGTGGGAACACTATTAAGTTGGGTCAGCCACAGGGGTGTTGTGATCAGTATGTTGTACTTAGAAAGGAAAAATTGAGGTCCAAATCTCCATTTAGCCAAAAAAATTTACCATGTGAGTTTGTGCCTGTTGTCATCTCGGCCTGTTCTATATCACAGGATTGTTGTGAAACAAATAGGAACAGCAGAAACAAGTGTGCCATTTTCAGCATCCTGAAAAGGGGCAGGGTAAAAGTGTAAGTTTTCTTATAATAACCACATAGAACTGCCAGACAGATGCTTCCTTTCGTTTGCAAAGTGGACATCCCAGTAGTGGGAATAGGTTAGTACATGGGGCTGTAAGTAGCTCTTGCACCACCCAAGATTTTCTTGAAGGCTTTTTAATGTGGGGGGTTGCACCTTCATTTAAAGAATGAAATTATGGTTTTAGAATAGGAACATTTCTGATTGAAAACAAGGAATCGGGTGGCTTGCTGTTCCATCCACCCCCCCACCCCCCGTAGTGCTCCAGATTCTACCACTTAACTCTTGTCCTTGATTCTCCCCAGATTCCTCTTGGTTCAAGATGGATTTCCTTTACTATGCTATGATGAAAAAATCCCCCTTTAGCTATTATGACTGTGAGCCCAGCATGGGACTTACAGAGGATAAATGGCGACTTTAGGAAATTGCTATGGATTTAAGGATTTACAATGAGGTAAATACTTCTAAATGTTTTTAAAAAACTCTTATTCAAGTTGTACATTTTTCCAGACATTAACAAGGTTGAAACACGGAAATGCACAAATTCATTTCTTTACTTCGTTTATACACTGTCCCGCCATCGGGAGACCCAAAGCATCATACATCGTTCCCTCCCATTTTATCCTCACAACAACCCCTGCGAGGTAGCTTAGGTTGAGAGTATGTGACTGGCTCAAGTGTGACTTCATTTTATTGGGAAATGAAGGCAAAGCCAGAAGAAGTGCAATTAAAATATAATACAGGGCTCCACAAACTTCAGCAACCCAGGGTCCCCTGTTATGATTTAAACAGTTTTGCAGATTCCACCCTCCAAACCCTTTCCCCTCTCTCACCCATGACCACAATTGGCCTGATCCCCGTCTTTCAAAGTGCACAGCAAGCCACACGTACCCTTTGGAGACCGCTGTCCTTATCCTCAAAGTCAAAACCACATTGGCTGTGCTTTAAAGGCACAATCTGGTAAAATGTTTCTTTTGTACCTAGCCTACCAGGTAAGATCTCAGAAGGTAGCAAGTCCTATAGTGACAAAACTCATGAGGCCCTGATCAAAGTAGTAAGCAATCTTATGTCTCGATTGGAAGGAAATTTGCACTCAGGACAGCAAGAGATTTCCTTATTGGTGAACAGCTTCTAGCTGGAGGCAAGCTGAACAAGAGCGGGGAGGGGCATGGGAGACCTTTCTGAGATGCCTGTAGAAACACAGAAAGACCAGCATCACATAAAACCCCAGCTTCCAGTAAGTAGCTGAAAACCTGTATTGGCTATTATTGTCTATGGACCCAGAGCAGTATCTCTTTATTTTGAAATCCTTTGCCTTGGAAAATAAAGTGAAAACCAGTTGATTTATACCTGAGGTAATTGCGATGACTCTTTTACAACCAGGAAATCCCTCCTTCAGATCACTTAGCCAATTAGAGTTCCTGAACTATCAGATTCTGTGATTCCAGCAACCAATCACTGTGCTTCCTAGCTAGTGGTCTGGAGACTGCAGGTGGACTCTATAAGCTCCCACTGTTCAAAATGGGGATGCCACTTACAACTGCTTGCCCTCAGGAGGAGAGACCCAGCCCCCATTACTAGACACTCAAAAGGTAGGCATGATAGGGGCTTGCCCTCAGCTTTTACAAAGAGCTGGATTCCTGCTACATGCTTAGTGGTTAGTTATCAAGGGGTGACTGATTTTCCATTCATATCTTTGAAACCTCACCTGGGGTGGTTCCTCAGTCTCACCTAGCATGGAAGATTGGCTACAGTCATGCTAGTAGGGACACACAGATACAGCTCAACTTTGCAGAAATATACTGGCTGAGTTCAAACAAATCCCTGCCTTTCCTCAAACCACCAGCAAGCTGTACAGCCAGGATGTCCCTAAAGCAAAGCGAACACCAGTGTGAACCAGACAGGTCCAGCTGGGACTTCCGGACACTGAAGAGGAGTAAGACTTACTGCCTAAAGACATAAGTGCCTTTTGTTGAGCATCCTTCAATGCCAATTCTGCCCTCCCAAATCCTTTCAGCAGCAAGGAGGAGTGCCCTCTGTACCTCAAAAAGCATCCATGATGTGGGAGATCTTGGATGTGGCATCTAAGGCCAATTCCTTCTTCCTGGCTTATTTGTAAAAATTGTACACCATGTTTCCAAACAAGTTCACGATAATAGTAAACCAGTGTGCACAATAGAATGAAACAGCATACAGATGTCTGTATTGTCATGCATATTGTATTCACAGCAAAAGCTGCTTCAACAAGTGAGTGACACAAGCATTATTTTCTCTACTCATTTACTTCATTGACTTCATCTTTCTCCCCAACAGGGACCCAAATCGTTCTATCTTCCATTTTATCCTCACAGCAACCCTGTGAGGTAGGTTAGGCTGAGGGCAAGTGGTTCAACCCTGTGAGGTAGGTTAGTTAGGCTGAGGGCAAGTGGTCGGCCCAACTTTCCAAGCAAGCTTCCACGGCAGAATGGGGATTCAAACGTGGGTCCCCCAGATATTAGTCTGACGCTAAGCACTGCACAACGCAGGGTCTCCGTGTC